GGTGTTTGTGAGGGTTAAGGAGTGAGGAAAGTGATGGACATTCACTGGAAAAGCTTTGGATTGAAGGTTGAAGTGTTTGGCTCTCGGATGCGTTTTGAACTTTTTCGAAAAAATGAAGAGTCACGATGAACTTATTTATATAAAGCAGTTTTCGCTGCGGCGAAGTTCTTCGTTCCATACAAAATTTCAAACCTAATCGATGCCATGGCAAAATTCCGTTAGTTCAATTTCGCAAAACCCTTTCTGCCGCGGTGAAGAAAATTGTTTAGTCGTGGTGAAAATTTTCAGAGAGCACGTCGCCTCGGCGAAGTCTGGGACTTTTTGAGTTCCTCTTCTTGGAAAAAAGTATTTCGCTGCAACAAAAACTGGAAGTTTTCCTTTTTTTGCCTTAATACGATAATTCACCTGAAACACCCAAAAACACACAAAATCAAAATCATTCTAAATCATGAGACAACTAAACAAATTCAAAACAACAAACAAATGAAAAACAAATTAAGACACTTGGGTTGCCTCCCAAGAAGCGCTTGTTTATAGTCGGAAGCTCGATTTTCTCAAGTCCTCATGTCAATCCAGATTGTCCAAATATATCATCTCCTGAACATTTTCCTTGCAATGATTTTTGAACTGAGAAATCCGTCTCTTGGAAAGATACATGCTCAATCTTGATCCATCTTGGAATGTAGTGTAACCTTCTGGGTTATGGTCCCCATCCTCGATTTGATTCGACTTGACCATGCATCCCTTAATTTGCGGATTAGAATTGTCAAGTTGGGAGGTTTCCATTATTGACTGATCCACCGAGTCAATTTTTAAACATGACTCTCGCTTCGGTGGAACTTTCATCGACTCAAGGACATTAAATGTCACTTCTTCATCTTGCATCCTCATGATCAACTTCCCTTCTTGTATGTCGATTAAGGCTCTTCCGATAGCCGGAAATGGTCATCCCAGGATAAGAGGAATCTCTTTGTCTTCTTCCATGTCCAACACAAAGAAATCTGCTGGAAAAATAAATTTGTCCACCTTAACCAGCACATCTTCAACAATTCCCCTCGGATGCTTGATGGATCTATCTACAAGCTGCAAGCACACGGTTGTCGATTTTACTTCTCCAATTCCTAGTTTCCTGAAAACAGAAAAAGGCATAAGATTTATACTTGCACCCAAATCACACAAAACTCTATCAAAGGTGATATTTCCTATAACACAAGGAATAGTAAAGCTCCCTGGATCCTTGAGTTTCGGTGGTAGCTTTTTATGTAGAATGGCACTACACTCCTCTGTTAGCATCACGGTGTAACGCCCACATGGAGGTATGTAATTTAATTTATGTTCTTGTGCCTTTAGTTGATTTTTGCTAAGGTTATTTTAAGGAAAATGTGAAGAAAATGCCTTAAACTTGCATTAAGGGTAAAATGGTCTTTTCACTCAAAAAATTAATTGAAATTGTGTGGAGTGAAAAGAGATAGAATTTCATGGAGAATGCAATAAAAATAGAATTTCATGGAGAATGCAATAAAAATGTGGGCATTATGGTAATTGACTAAGGGACATAGATGAAATTTTAAAGAAAGTGCAAGGGCAAAATGGGAAACTATATATAATTTTTATGTTATATCAAGTTGAAGAGTAAAACCCTAGCCACTCTTACCCATATGCACGCCACTTTCACCTCCATATTCTCTCAAATTCTTCAATTCTTCTTCAAAGGAAATTCAAAGGTTTTGGGTGTTTTTTAGTGGATTTTCAATCTTAAGCTTCTATAGGTAAGATCCTTGCACTAAGAAGTGAATTTTAGTTTTTAAAGTGTTGATTTTGATGGTTTTTGCTCATAGGATTTAAGAGGAAGAGAGTTTGATCAAAGGAGATTCTTAAAGGGTTGAATTTGCTCATATCAAAGGTAAGTAAATCCTACCCTAAGTGTGATTTAAGTTATGTTGTGTAGAGAATTTTCTTTGTGCATATTGATGAGAATGCAAAATGTCATATTTACCCCCCTTAATGTCTAGTATTTTATACTTATTTTTTGCCTAAAATGTACTGATTATTATTCTATTTTGATTTAGGAAGCAAATGGAGGCGTTAATTGCAAAATGGAACTAATTAAGTGAATTCGGACAGTTTTGACATTGTTTCGTAATCGGGACATAACTCTCTCATCCGAGCTCCGATTGAGATGATTCAAAGTTCTGTGAAACGCTAAGAAAGATATCTACAACGTTCATGTTTTGAGTTTGGAGAGATACTCGCTGCATCAAGGTGGTAATCGGGCTTGAAGTTGATGCATCTGCACTGCCGACATTCTGGAACATTTTGCCTTGTCATGCAAATCAATTGGGCAGTTTATTATTGGAAGATTTGGACACATGTGGTACGCAAGTTACAGCTCAGAATCACCACTTCCCTATTTTATTTTAAGACTTTATCTTATTTTCAATTAATTAGAATCAAATTAGGATTAATGTTATTTTAGGATATTAGAATATTTCTTTTAGGAGATTTAGTGGAATTCAAATACTTAAACTGGATATTTTTTTAAAGGGATCAGATTAGGTTTGAGGGATACACACACGCCTCTCTCTAGTCTTCTCTGCAACTTTTCCTCTGTAATTTTGTGGTGGCCATGAGAAGCTAATTTTTATAACTTTGTCGAAGGAAACGGAGGCCTCGGAATCAATAACTGTGAGATCTAATCCATTTTAATTCAGTGTTCAATTTTACGCTTTGAGTATTGGATGTTCTTCTATGCTTAATTTCATGATTGTTTCATTTAATTGCTAGGAGGCCTACTAGGTTATTATTTGTTACAATCTACTGCTAAGTTAGATATCAAATCCGTAATTTTTTGATCCCTCTAACTTGTGAAGCAAATAGGATTATTAATTTGCTGCGTCAGGAATTAGTAACCTTAAGAGGAACACTCGACTGAATTAAATACAACCGCTTGAGTTTGGGTTGTTTAGCTTCATCGATCTCTCTAATTATTAAGGCTGCCATTAGATTAAATCTTTAGCACTTGTCTATGGTTGTTTAATGGTAAGATTAATTAAGAACGCTTGTTTCCTAATTAATTACAATTAAGGAGAGATAGGAAAATAATTCCAACAGTGAATATTCAGAGTAAGAATTGATTTACTTTTGCATCAATGATCAGTTTTAAGGTTCCAATGGTGGATGCTAACGGAGACCAAGTTTCATTATATTAATTGATTTCAAATTGAATTGTTTTTGTTTTTGTTTTTGCTAAGATTGTTTTCTGTTTTACTCAAAACCCCCCAACCTTATTCACATCATCGAAAATTCGGCTAGACACCCTTCGTGGGATCGACCCTTGCTTACCCTATTTACAGTTCAGTAGTTAGGTTAGGAAGGTTTTTAATCTTGGTTGCCTACAACAGCACACCACATATATATATGTTATATGTGGAATTGTTGATGGATTTGGTGTTGAATAATAATTAGAATCTATCCATGAGAAGTTGGGTTGGTGTATGTGATACTTGATGAATGTTTGGTTGAGATTTGGAAGAGTTGAAGTGAAAATTTTGAAGTGTGTATTTTGGGCAGATTTGGAGTTAATTATGGAGGAGTTTATTCCAAGTTTTTGGTGGCCTAAAATAGAGATAGAAGTGTAGCCAAATTAGTGTTGATTTGTGCACATGAATTGTTTGATGAAATGCCAAGGAGAAGTGCATGTATGAGTATGATTATGTGTTACCTTGGGATGTGTTTGTAGATGGTAGAGAATGACATGTTGGCATTCCATAATGCATAATTGCATTTAAGTATGTAAATTTAGAAAGAATTATAAGCATGAAACCATCTACATGCATATATATTCATAAGAGCATGAAAAAGCCCTAAAATATGTTAAAGAGAAAATAGAAATAAATGAGAATATTAAAGGTATTCAAATCTGAAATTTTACCTAAAGAAGTGTTAAAAAAAAAAAAAAAAAGAGAAGGTTGTTGCGATGGGGAGCCCGTGAGTGACATAGTCCCACATGCACGCCGCCTTTAGTGAGCGACCTCAAAATTCAGAAAGAAGAAATGTATAGCCTGTTAGAAGTGTGTGTGGATGAGGACTATACCCAGAATTAGAGAATTCACTCACACGGCCAAGGCTCCAAATCCATGCCTCAACCGAGTCCGATAGGCAAGAATAGAAAGAGAGAATAGAAAAGAAAGAAAGAATAGAAAGAGTAGAAAAGAAAGAAAGAAAAGAAATAAAGAAATAAAGAAAAAGAAACAGAAAAACAGAATAAGAAAAATAGAAAAGAAAATGCATAATTTATGCATTTGTGCATTTGCATCATGAATATGCATAATACCATGCTCATTATCATGGGTAGTGAGAAATTTAGAAACAGAAAGAAAAACAGACAGCAAAATAGAGAAAGAATAAAGAAAGAACAGAGAAAGAACAGAGAGAAGAACAGGGAAAGAATAGAGAATAATCGGGAAATGTGATGTAAGGAAAGAAAATTCGGAATTTTAAGCAGCAGAGAGAGAAGGGTAGCATAGCGGGTTTTCTTACTGAGCAATTAGTGCTCACTCTGTTGTTTTTAATGTTTTTGCAGGTAATAGGTGAGTTGCGGTCGCACAGAATATCACGCAGTGGATGGGTTGGGCTACACTGTCACATTGCTATTTTGAGTATATTTTGTAAATATTTGTATATAAAGAAAAAATTCAATATGGGCCTATACTTTGTTACTCGTATATATGTGTATTTTCTTATATATATTGTTAATGAGATTTATTTTTTATTAATTATTTTACAAGTATACTAGCTAGAAAGAAAGCATTACACATGGTTTTCTCCTCTTCCAACTTCCTTTTATTCGACAGAATGTCCTTGAGAAATTTCGCGTAGCTCGGCATTTGCTGCAAGGCATCTGCAAAAGGAATGTTAATATGTAGTTTTTTTAATACCTCGAGAAATTTAATAAATTACTTATCCTGATTTTCTTTTCTCAGCCTCTGAGGAAAAGGCACCAGAGGACTGTGATGTGCTAATCCCGGTGGTGTCTCAAAAATTGGCAATTTCTCTTTCCTTTGCTTTTGTTCATCTTTCCCAAGGCTGGGTGGTTTTTCTTCAGTAATGATCTCTTCATCTACTTCTTCATCCGAATCTTCCTTCACTTTACTTGGTGAAGTCGCATCCTTCATTTCTTTCTCAACCTCTCCCAAGACTGTTCCACTTCTTAGTGTTATTGCATTCACTTGTTCTCGTGGATTTGTCATTGTGTTACTTATTAGGGAGCCCTGTGGTCTATCATTTAGCTTATCAGCCAATTGGCCCACTTGTACCTCCAAGATCCGAATGGACGCCCCTTGGTTTCTAAAATTCGCCCTGGTCTCATTCATGAAAATGTGGTCTCTTGCATAAAGTTTTCGAACCTATCCTCCAGTTTTGTCAATCTTTGCTCTCCCAGTTGATTGTTCACCCCCGCTTGGTTGTTTGGCATCATTCTTTGGTTCCATTGATTGTTCTACTGATTCTATTGATTCTGATTACCCCAAGAGAGTTTTAGATGATTCCTCCAACTAGGATTATATGTGTTGGAGTACGGATTGTTCGGTTGCCTCTGATTTCTTGCCAAGTAGTTAACCTGTTCTGATGATGAAGACGTTGAAGCAAACGCGTTCCCCACTTTGCATTCACTGCTCACATGACTACCTGCACAAAATTCACAAGTTAGTTGAGGTGCTTGAATAGAATTTACCTGCATACTTCCCAACTATTTCTGAAGTGATGTAAGTTGGGCTGAAATAGCCGTGTATGCATCAGCTTCATGAAGACCCATAGATTTCTTTGACTAAGCAACTCATGAGCTTCTTCTGGTGTCTTATTTTGCAATGCTCCTCCCAATTCTGTATCCACCATGGTTTGCACATTAACCATCAATCCATTGTAAAACGTTTGGACTTGCATCCAAACTGGCAACCCACGGTGTGGACACCTCCTCAGTAGTTCCTTGTATATTTCCCACGTCTCATATAATGATTCAGACTCTTCCTATAGAAAAGATGTGATATCATTTCTCATCTTCGCAGATTTTGCTGGAGGAAAGAATTTGCTCAGGAACTTCTGTGCTAATTCATTCCATGTAGTGATCATTGATAATCCGTGAATTATACAGTTTTCATTAGACTTTTTTGTCGGATTTCAGGTACTCTCTAGTGCATTTTGACCTGAATTGTTGCTTAATTCTTTACTTTTCGTGTTTCAGGTTAAAATGGATATTTTGAGCAAATAAGGGCAAAATTGGATATTTTTGACTCAAAAATTAGTGGATCTTAGAAGATAGGAGAGTTCCGGAGCAGGATAAAGCACGATGAAGCTTGTTCCCAATGGAGAGCACCGAGAATCGAAGAATCAAACGAAGAAGCAAGCAGAGTGGCAGTTCTGTAATTTCAGAACTTTTCAAGAAGCTTCGCCCCGGCGAAGGAATTGTCTTCGCCGCGGTGAAGTAAGCCAGGGACGAACGTGTCTACTTCACTCTTCGCCGCGGCGACAGTCATTATTTTCAGTTTTGTTAAATGCACAGTTTTGTTTTGTGCGTGTTTTGGCTAGGTTATTTGGACTAAGTATAAAAGAAAAACTTAGCCTTTTGCCCAGGGGTCTTCATCTTTTTAGGGTTAGCTACTTTTGCATTTTTCTTAGTAAAACTTTGAGCGATTTGGTTTGTTTAAGGGGGAAGATTCGATTCTGACTAAAGGATTCATCTTTGGGGAGATTTCTTCTTTTATCTCAGTTTCATTATGCTGAACTTGATTATTTCCGTTTTACGTTTTGTAATATTGATTTAGCTATGAACTAATCTATTTTGGGTTAGGGTTTTGATGGTAGTTTGGATTTTTAATGGGTTAAGTGTTTGATTGTGTTATTTTCATATGAATATGCTTTTGGTTTGTGTTACTATCTGATTTTGAATTGCAGTATGTGATGAACATGATGAGATTGAGAAATGAATCAGGTTAGGCTTCTTGGGTAATCACCATTATAGTATTAGATGCTAGAGATAGATTCAAGAATTAATGAAATCATATTAGGATTCTTTTGCTTAATGAGTTTGGAATTATTAATCTTCAATTTGTTGGGTGCGGAATGTTAATAAGGATGAATGGAAAACATAGCCCGAGAAGGTATGTTTTACATATTGGTGAGTTCGATTTACAACCATTGCGTATGAATGTGAATGTAGTGTAATTTTTAGGTTTAACCCATAAAAATCCAAAGAAGTCAAAACCCTACCCGTTTTGCTTGAATTGATTATCCGTGCTTTCATATTGCTTTCTTAATTAAGTTTTAATCTTAGTTTAAAATTCATGTTGTTTTATTAGAATTTGCTCCCGCCAATCCAAGAATTCGTTGCTTCAACTTGAATACATTAGGAAACTCAGTGCTTTGCTAAACATCCTCGTGGGAACGATACTCTACTCATCATTTTTATTACTTGAGCGACTAGTATACTTGCTACTTTTTGCATGTTGTAAGAAACGGCATCAAGTTTTTGGCGCCGTTCCGGGGATTGTTTTAAGTTACATTGAGTTTTTCCTTAAGTTTAGCTAGATTGAAGTTTATTTTTGTTTTTAATTTTCATTAGAGTTGTGATATCTCTTTCCTTCACTTGTGTTCGTTCAGTTTATGCAAGAGCAAGACTCAACCAGTGGTTCCTGTTGACCTGAGCTTGGAGGACCGGTGAGAAGACATAACAGAGAAAGAAGAGAAAGAGAGAATCTTACTATAGAATCTAAGAAGTTGTTGTTGAAATGGCTAAACAAGAAAACAGGACACTGAGGGAATTTTCAGTTCCCACAGTGAAGTAAGTGGGTCAATATTACTAGACCTACAGTACAAGCAACAACTTCAAGATCAGTCGGCAATCATCCAGATGATCCCAGTCGGTTAGATTCAACGGTGATTTGAAGAAAGATCCGAATCAGCACATTGCAAATTTCCTGGAAATTTGTGACACCTTCAAGTCAAATGGAGTGTTGGATGATCTATTAGGCTGCGGTTATTCCATTCTCATTGGAGATAAAGCAAAGGGGTGGTTAATGGCATATCACCGGGAACAATAACAACGTGGAATGATCTAACACGAAATTCCTGACTAGTTCTTTCCTCCAGCTAAGTCAGCGAAATTAGAAATGATATCACATCATTTGTACAAGATGATGCCGAGTCATTGTACGAGGCTTGGAGAGATACAAGGAGGTAATGAGGAAGTGTCCACACCATGGTTTGCCAGTTGGCTTCAAGTCCAAACTTTTTACAATGGTTTGATGGGTAATGTGCAAACCATGGTGGATGCAGCTTCAGGTGGGCTTTGCAGAATAAGACACCAGAGGAGGCATATGAGTTGCTTGAGGTTTTGGCAAGCAACAACTATCAAAGACCAAATGAGAGAGTTATAACAAGGAACTTCGGTTTTCATGAAGTTGATGCCTTCACAGCCATCTCAGCCTAACTCACTGTACTTCAAAAACAGTTGGGAACTATGCAGGTAAACTCTATACAAGCACCTCAACTACATGTGAATTTGTGCAGAAACCATGTGAGCAGCGAGTGTCAAGTTGAGAACCATTTGCTTCGTCATCTTCATCAACGAGCAAGTGAATTACTTGGCAGGAAATCAGAGCAACCGAGACAACCCATGCTCCAACACATATAACCCAGGTTGGAGAAATCATCCAAATCTGGCTTGGGGAAATCAGAAAAGCAAAATAATCATGGAACCAAGGCAAGTTCCAATTACCAGCCAGGGGTGACCAATCAACCGGAGATCAAAGAGTGACGAAGTTGGAGGACATGTTTGGTAAATTCATACAAAGACCACAGGTTTCATTGAAACGAGGGACAATTTTAGAAACCAAGGGGCGTCCATTCGGAATCTTGAGGTACAGATGGGCCAATTGGCCGAAAGCTTAATGATCGACGCGCAAGGTTCCTTACCAACAATATAGTAACCAACCCACGTGAGCAAGTAATGCAATTTCGTTGAGAAGTGTGAGAGTTTAGAAGAGGTGAGGGACCCAAGGAAAGAGGAAACTTCATCAAAAAAAAGGAAGATTCTGATGAGGAAATTGATGAAGAAAGTGAAGCAAAGAGAAACCACCCACCTAAGAAAAGAAAAGCAGGAGTAGAAGAAGGGAAAAAGAAAAGAAAGAGAAATTGCCATTCCCCGAGATTCCACCAGAGTTGGCGCATCACACACCACCCTTACCCTTCCTCAAGACTCAAAAAGAGAACATCAAGGCATTTTATTAAGTTTCTTGTGTTTTTAAAAACTGCATATTACATTCCTTTTGCAGATGCATTGCAACAGATGCCAGCTACGCGAAATTTCTTAAATAAATTTTATCGCACAAAAGGAAGTTAGAAGATGAGGAAACGGTGATGCTAACGAGAGTGCATCGCTATTCCAGAAGAAGCTGCCCCCAAAACTCAAAGATCCAGGGAGTTTTACTATCCCTTGCACTATAAGATATAACCTTTGATCGAGTTCTATGGACCTAGTGCAAGCATTAACCTTATGCCTTTTTCTGTGTTCAGGAAACTAGGAATTGAAGTTAAGCCAACATCCACATGCTTGCAACTTCTAGATCGATCAATAAAGCTTCCAAGGGCATAGTGGAGGATGTTTTGATTAAGATGGCAAGTTTATTTTTCCTGCGGATTTCTTTGTGTTGGATATGGAAGAAGACAAAGAATTCCTCTTATCTTGGACGACCATTCCTAGCCACCAGAAGAGCTTAATCGATGTTCGAAGGGAAGTTGTCATGGGATGCAAGATGAAGAAATAAAATTTATGTCCTTGGATCATGAAGCTCCACCTGAACAAGAGTCGTGTTTAAAAATCGATGTGGTAATCAGTCAAGAGTTGAGCCCTGCCAACTGAATAATATTAGTGGAAATTAAGAACTGCATTGTAAAACCGATAAGTTCGGAAGTGAGGACCATGACGGAAGAGGTTGCACAAATTCCAAGACAAGCCACGTCGAGTTTGGTACACATAAGGAACGGGCCTCTGGGATAAAAAAGGGTGAAGTTAGCAAGAAAACGAGGAGGCGGTCGGAAGAGAGAGTCGGCTACCAAATTTATGACCAAGGGATGGAAATGGATAGTGAAACTTTCAACAAAGCCACTGTGTGAAAAAGATCATCAGCAATTGAAGCTCCGTACAAGGGAAATTTCCAGGATGTGATGTATTTGGATAGTCCGGGCTGATTGAGAA